ATTATTATTATTATTATTATTATTATTGTTATTATTATTATTATACAAATAATCTATATTAAATATATAAATTATCAATACAGCAATATCATAAAGGATATACATGTTTTATTTAATATATTATAATTGTAACATTATTATAATTTCAATATAATTTTAATCAATATTTGTTGTACTGATAATTTTATAAAAATGTGAAAATATAAATTATAAATTATTATTATTATTATTATTATTATACAAAAACAAATAATCTATATTAAATATATAAATTATCAATACAGCAATATCATAAATATATAAATGTTTTATTTAATATATTATAATTGTAATATTATTATAATTTCAATATAATTTAATATATGTTTGATGTACTGATAATTTTATAGAAATGTGAAAATAAAAATTATTATTTATTTATTTATTTAATAGTTATTCGTTTGTTTGTTTGTTTTATTTATTTATTTATTTTTAATACCAGATTAATGTTTGCATTTATGCAATCTCCTAAATTCCAATTATTGAAATTTCATCTTGTTTATGTGGAAGATGCATATTCAAATCCAGCCTGCATCATGATCTCAACCCACCCCTGCACCCATCATTTCCTGTTAGCTATGGCAAGAAGCCCCCCTCACCCACCCAAAAACCGCTGATCAATCCTTTCCCACAAACACCTCTAATGAAACATTCTTCATGGTGTGCATCTCGTATGTAATCATATCAACAGCACGCATCATTCCCATAAGTTCCATATCCCTGATTGGCTCTCTTGTTATTGATTGACAGGTGGAGCTCTCTGACAGCACCTCCCACACCATCACCGACGCCTACGCAGGGAAAGAGTACATCATCCAACTGGCGGCCAAGGACATGGAGATCGGCACTTGGAGCGACTGGAGCGTGGCGGTCCACGCCACCCCCTGGATGGAGGAACCCAAGCCCATCACCTCCACCACCGAGAGCGACATTATCCCAGGTATGCATGAGCTGCCAACCGTACGCACACTACTCTCCTATTCACTGTAATGGCGGTCCCGTCTGCCCCCCATGATCTCTGTTCTCCCATAAAACAATAATAGTGGCTGATAATGAGGAGACAGTGTCTGGAGCCCTGCATCTCAAAGTCACGCTGCCCTCTGCTGTCAGAGAGGTTCAACAACAAATGAATAGTTGATGCGCTCTGAGGTTAATGAGGATCTGACATCAGGTTCTGTTAAGTTTAAGGATGAAAATTATAAAGGAGATGCCATATTTAATCTGACACCAGAAATAGCCATGTACAGTCCGTGTGAACTCAAATCAACCCTGTTTACCTTCTCAGCACATGTTCCTGGTCAAATTGTGTCCAGTTCTTCAGTCCATTTATCCAAAAGAAAACAGACTGGGATTCTCTTGGTAGCTTGGCCTTTGGCCTCCAGTCACAAAGCCTTCTGAGAACTGAGAGTTGTCCTTCACAATCCACTGCAAAGGTCTGGATTCAGCCCCGACTCCATTCTACAGACACTTTTCACCATCCAATCAGTTCCTGGAATAAAATTACAATATTTTTTTCTCAATTTTTTTTCCTCACTGACAATTCTGCTTTCCTGAAATGCATCATATGATGGAAGTAAATGGCTTTTGAATGCCACTTCATCTTGAAAACCATGTTTTTTTTTTGTTTTTTTTCATCTCCTCAATCACAGAATCCTTCAAAGTCACGTCTCTTCAGTTTATCGATCAATGCGCACGTTCTCAACTGTACAACATATTTTATGGACTGTACCGCTACCCCTTCATTCACATTATAGGGGTGTCGCAATATAATTTTGTTAAGCATCAGAATCAGAAAGAGCTTTATTGCCAAGTATGTTTGCACATACAAGGAATTTGTTATAGTGTCACAAGCTTCCAGTACACGGAGACGACAACAACAACATCACAGATAATAAAAATAAGATGTGAATAAAATACACATGCATAAATATAAACCACATGACTGCATAATCCACGGACCTGTTTGCTCGGTAAGCAAACTGCAGGGGGTCAAGTAAGGGTCCAGTAATGTCCTTCAGATAAGCCAACACCAACCTCTCAAATGTCTTCATGACCACAGACGTTAGGGCCACAGGTCTGTAGTCATTAAGTCCTGTTATCATGTACTCCGAGTTCTGCAGTCTTGCAAATTCTTTCATAAACAGTGCAGATACAATGTAAAAAGATATTTATTTTGCAGTGTAGACAACGTCACAGATTATAATGTACGTTTTTGCAGGAGTGTGTAACTTGTGCTAGACTGAAGTCATGGACCGCTTCAGTGATGAGGAACTTTCTTTGCATGGTTTAAGTATATCATTTATAATTAATAAATAAATAAAAAAACATTTTGTTTTTCATCCTAAGACAACCAATGTGAAATCTTTCTCAAAATTGTTTAATCTTAAAATAAATAAATAAACAAACAAACAAATGGTCACACTTTATTTTAAGGTCCAATTCTTGCTATTAACAAACCTTTAACTACGACTTTTGCCTCAATAAACTCCTAATTTGCTGCTTATTAATAGTTAGTAAGGTAGTTGTTAAATTTAGGTATTAGGTGCAGAATATGTGCTTTATAAGTGCTAATAAACAGCCACTATGTTAATAATAGGCATGCTAATAAGCAACTAGTTAATAGTGAGAATTGATCCCTATACTAAAGTGTTACCAAATAAATAAATTCATAAACAGTTCTTTTTTTTTCTCTCTCTGTGTAGCCAAAATATGATGCATTGTTTCCCCAAACACAAAAACTTATTTAAATGTATTTTATTAATCAACATTAATACATTAATAATCATTAGTATAATATTGAGGGAAATAATCGACTATGTATATGTCGCTTTTGTTCCACCTTTGCGGTGTAAAGATGTTTTTCGTTGATTTTATTGGTAACAGACTATTGAATCAATTGATTAAATGTATGTACCGTATTTGTCATAAAAGACAACACAGATACATATAATGAAGTAATTATAAAACATTTTCTTTACTAAGGTAAAACATGCTCCTGCAAATCAATTCCAGGGGAGCAAATATTGGCCCTTGATGAAAAACAAAAGAAGACAATGATGCAGTGTAGCTACTACTGCCGGACAAAATTATGTCGTCAGAGATGAAAGACGAAAGTAAAACACTCTTTAAATAATAATAATAATAATAATAAAATTAACTCCACATTTTTTGGATTGCATAGTATTAGTCAACCCAGTGTGCAAGTGCAGATCAACAGTAAGTCATTTCTGCATGCATTTGTATAGTTATGGTTACAAACTCTCTTTGTGCTTGTATTTTGAGTGATTCAGTGGCCAAAAAGAGAAAACAATAAATAAAGCTGAAGTTCTGATGGTCTATATGCAATATTAGTTTCACTGCGTCCCAGTTTGGGATTTACGAGTTCTGATACTGTGGTCCTTTCGGGGCGGACAGAGAATCTTGACTTGAAAACCCTAGTGATAACCTATGTACATTTTGTTTTATAAATAGCACTGACAACTTGATGACTGTTATTAGAAGTAATATCTAGTGACGGCTGCCCTGCTCGGTTTGATCCAGCAGACAGTATTGAGTTTCTACCCCTCCATGCACTCAGCGTATTTAATCCACACTATACTTGGAATGGAGGAAAGAATCAAAAAGTCAGCAGAATTGCACGCTAGTTTTGTGAGCCGTGTGTCAAAACGCTCTCTCTAAAAGCTCTTCTTTCTTTCCTCCTGGGTAAAACAGGAGAACGTCCTTGTAATAATTCCTCCTTTGCCTGTTATTTCAGCATTTTATTTGCTTAATTTGAGATGAGAGTCATTGCGCGAGACAGCTCTTTCTACTTTATCTGCAGTGTTTTTCAGGGAGTCGTTTCACACATTGTCACACTGCACGAAATAATGCAATAAACAAGCGATATAAAAACAATAACTAATATCTACTTGCCATTGTGAAGTCAATTGCATTTAAAATTGCACAGCATGAAAATGTTCAGATGGCAGTGGAGCAGTTGTTTAGTTAACTCAAAATATTGTTCTAATGGTATTGTATCATGAGTTACAGATATAACGTTTATTTTATTACAATGAATGTCTCATGTAACCAGACTTTTGACACTTGGTTTAAAATCGGGTCCAATAATTGGGCCAAGACCCACTCACTTACACAGGAAGAGACTGCCTAACTGATATGTAAAGTGACCAATCATGGTTCATTTTGTTTTTATGTACTGGTAGGGGTGAGTAAATATGTTTTATTAATGTTTTCCAACATATATCCATTCATTTTTAATGGCTTTTTTTATCGTTTAATATCTATACACCATCAAACAAAAGTGGCATAATCAAAGTAAAAAGCAATATGATATTTGTCTTACACTATGAAAATAAATGAATGTATATACTGTGTCTTAATTATTACTTAAATGCTTTTTATTTTTTTATGGATGCGCCAACATGGTTGCACCACGTGACATTTAATAACCTGAAATTACCTTGCCTAGTCATAAAAAGGTCAAATTATTCAATATTGTAATTGACTTATTCACCTTGACACATAGTCATGAGGGTCTGTTGGGAGTTATTGGTGTTGGTCGCACCGCATGACTTTTTTTTTATATATATATATATATATAGCTAAAAAGTTTTTTAAAATGATGAAAAACACATTTTAAAACATGTTCATTGTGTTCAAGTCATTGAATGTATTGCTTTTTAATGTATTTTTGAAGGAATTAACAAATGAGTAAAATGTCATTTTGTGTCATTCATCCATATTTTGTACACAAACCATAGATTTACAAACCCATTCCTTAGAAATACTTAGAAATAATGACCATTTCCTTCTCCCCTGGCAGAAACCACCCCTGGACCGCCTTCAGCCGCACCACGAGTGGGTGAACCCACAGCGGCCTGCTCCACCCTTCTCTGGTCAACCCACCTGCTCCTGGCCTGCGTCCTGCTGTCCATCATGTGGTACGTGACCTCACTGCAATGCTATTTCCATGCATCTCATTCACTGATCTTATGTGAGAAAGAATCATGAGCTTTCAATGAAACAATGTGAACAATGCATGAGGTATGAATAATGAGCAATGTACGAGCATAATCTCTGACATAGCATTTATAAATCATAAGCGGCTTACCATATTATTCATGCAGCTGGACTTCACTTTTCCTAATTATGTACAATACAAGCTCACAATACACTTGAGACACCAATAACTAACTAATAGTCAGAACTTATGCACATTAGGGCTGTCAAAATGACTGAAAAACTAAATTCGAATTTTCCACTTAAATATGATCAAAATTCGAATTATATTCTAATTTAAAAGGCATAATTTCAGTTAGGGGGAAAAAAAACTTTTGGCTTCGCTTCTTCAAAGCGTAATAAAATAACACAACTATCTTTGAAAAAAAGTGCATAATGTTTAAAATAATGTTTATAAACCATATATAATTAATAAAGTTGCTTAAACAATTAGAAAAAAAACAGCACCATGCATGTATGTATAGTTTAATACAAAGGACCGAATACCAATCACAAAGAGTAGGCTACTTTCTTCATTTAAAAACATGATATACAGTGGGATGGGGGAAAACCACCATAACGTCTTTAGACATGTTTTTTAAAAGTTGAACTTACATTAATTTTACATGGCTTTCTAAACATGCCGCTCTCTGCGAGACGCGAGTGCA